CATCAGGACCTGCTGATTAACATGATGTTAGTCTTCATAAATGAAAATCTTATTACAAAGACGTGTGGTAACTGTTCTTGAAAACTCAGGGAAGAATGTATAAACAGACAATATGATCAACTGTTATGTATAAACGGACCATATGATCACTGGTATGTATAAACAGACCCTACGATCAAATGTTATGTATAAACAGCAAGTGTGCACACGATATGCATATCAACACACGGTATGCATATGGGTTGTTSAAATGGGCTGTTCATACADGCTGTTCAYMCAAATGCAGATGGGGTTGTTCATATGGGCTGTTTACTGAACAAATGAACACAGATTGCATCAATCTCTAGTAAAACACMTGTTTTCAGTTTCTGGGARTTACAAGAACAGGGTAATTATAGGAAATAAGTAATCAATAMTTTCCTATTGCATCAATCTCTAGTAAGTAACTAACATAGGCAATCAGTTCCGATATGTTGAAATTGGTTTTACTTTATTCCGCATCAAACTGATTAACATGATGTTAATTTCACACAATGAAAAACTAATGAATATGAACATTAGAAGATACAAACATTAGTTTCACTCATGGTTGTTAATGTATATGAACCCTCAATGTTAACACACAAATTTCGGACACTAAAGAAGGACCATCATTTCTGCATTAACATGAGTTTTTCACCAAACACTTAAAACAATTTTTTCCACAAAATGTGATATATTATAAGGTGAGCAATCTGTCAATAGCAAATGTAGTGATTTTCATATACCCGACATTGAATAATAACTTCTCACATTCAACATTATATTTATTTACCTTTCCGTGGTTCACCAACTAATGTTGATGGATTTGTGACCTGCTTCACTACTTGCTTCCTAACAAGTCGACCAGACGATTCTCTGTTCATTGGTTCCTCATCAACATCGACAGGATTATCGGCTGTGTTCTTGAAATTCGAAAACGCGTATTTCATCATTATACGTTCACTGGGTTTGCGTACTGTAGGTAAGATTGAACTCAAATGAGTGCAGATTTCAGTTATGATAACTAAAAATCGAAGCCCTAATTCTTATAAACTTACCTCTCCTTCTAATTCCGGCTGCTTGCAAATCGCCCAAATCATCCATATTGTGGATGAATATTGTGAACCTGATTTTACGCACTTGATTTACCCTGTTGATCGGCGGTTTCGTATATGGATGGAGGTTACAGAATCGGTGTACAATATGGCGGTGAAATGTGCAATTTTTGACCACTTTACCCTTTGAACATTGGTTCATACCCATATCATTTAAAACATTAATTAATTTATTATTTTTTAAATCTTATTTAATAATAACCGTTAGATTAAAAAATGAATGATCAGGATCGGTTAGAAGAGTTTGGACAAAAAATTGGGTTAGGATTTGAACCAAACTCTATATATATATATAGTCTATATATATATATATATATATGTGTGTGTGTATACATGCCCCCTGGTTTGCATTTCATGTTGGATTATTTTTAATGCTTCTACTTATGCAAAACATATTTTTATATAAAAAAGAAATAAAAAGACTAAAATATTTCTGATTTGAGGGGCACGTGACCCGATTTAAATGAGTCCTCAAAGATGCCAATATGACCTAAACCAATACAAAATGCAAATCATACGGACAAAAATCTATTGAATGAACTACAAGAGTGGTGTTTGATTGATTTGAGTTTGATTTTAAAGGTCAAAATTACTAGTAAGTCTCAGATTCAAATTTGAGGAGAAATAAAAATCCTCTTGTGGCCATGGAAGTTCAAATACGGTGACTCCGGCCTATCTGCAGGTGGTCGCACTGAGATTAGTCGACTTGTACAGCGGGTTGGATATCCAGGTTAATAAAAAAAATCTATTGAGTGAAAAACCAAAGTTTTGGTAAATTAGAGGAGATAAAAAAATATAATTCACTCTTCACACCACAAGAACATGATATAGAGATGGGCAAATTGGTATCGGTCCTGGGACCGGCAGTTTAGAACGGGTTACATTTTTCGTCAAAACAAAAGGATCGTCCCGAATTTTCAAAAATGTTATTGTTTTATTATTGATACCCACCAGCCATATGACCATTTTCTCCCTTTTGATTGTTTTCAGTTTCATTTACACTTTATTCACTATATAAAAGTCATATGGTATATAAGGGAAGATACCAATCCACAAACGTTCACCGTTTTTGTTATTGTTCATGATTTTGGCTCGTATTCTCGCAAAAAAAACCTATTTTTCAAGTGATTTGAATTGGTCCAATTACATATTTTCAAGTGTATTAGAATAACGTTTTAATATTATTTAAAAAAAACTTCAAAAAAAATTATGTAAAATATCGATTTTATTAAAAAAAAAAAATACATAGGACCGATTTGGGCCCAGCCCGGGACCAGGACTGATCCTCATAACCAGTTATGAAGTATCTTAATAGGGCCTCGGGTTTTTGGTCGGGACTGGTTATGGGAATAGTTTTTGGGACCGGGACCGGGATCGATTTAAGCCCGGCACCACCCGACCCAAGACCGAATCTAGCCATCTCTATGAGTACATGATCAATCTACTTACTCATTTTCCTCACATTGTAACTGTTATGAAATACTGATAACTTATTCCTCCAATTTGTTATGTTCTGTAGCTAATGAAGGGTAGTTCTCTAACAAAAGTCTTAATTTATATCTTCTTCAAAGAATATGGTAAGAATATATTGAGTCTAACAAATCGATCGTTTCCTTGATTCTAGGTCAACTTTTAGGTTTTCCTAATTTCATTCCGCCGTATGCTACCGTAACTGACCAAGAGATCAGCACAGGAGTAAACTACGGCAGTGGTGGCGCTGGTATTCGAGAAGAATCTGGAAGTCATCTGGTAATCACCATTTGCGCAAACTAATACCTATCGTTTTCATTTTGCGTATATCCTAAAACACCCTAGAAATCTTCGTTTCTACACAAAAATCCCTTTTATTTGGGAAGTTTATGTGGCATAGAAGATCCAAAAACATTTCATACTTTAAAATGTTCTGTTCACTCTTTTGTGGTATTTATCCTTTTTCGACGCCAAATTAGCAAGACCTTTTTTCCGCCATGATCGTATTTCATCACCCTTTTGCAGTTGCATTAAAAGCAAAACATTAATTTTTATTTGGTCTGTGTTGAACTTCATGGCAGGGTGATCGGATCAGCATGGATAAGCAACTACTTAATCACAAGGCAACAATTTCACGACTTTCGGCCTTACAAAGCAACAAGACATTTACCCATGAATACCTAAAAAGATGCATTTATTTATCATATATAGGAAGTAGCGATTACATCAACAACTACTTAATGCCTAACATTTACCCTACGAGCAATATGTATACCATCGATAAGTATGCAACAGTCCTTGGGAAACAATACTATCAACAACTAAGGGTACACATACCATCACTTATTGTCTCATTTTTTTATCATTCTTATCCAACTTTTCAAGTATAGTACCATTCAAATGTTGTCACCCCTATTTTCGTGTGGATCGTTTTGACATGACAGACTCTTTACAGTATGGGAGCTCGGAAGGTTGCCGTGTTTGGTCTGGATCAGATTACTAGATCTGCCCCAGTAGATACATCAAGGTTTGGATCTAACAAAATAGTTGTCTCCGACATTGACTTGATCAATATTACTATCATCAAGCAAATTAGTGATACTCTTAGTAATGCTATTGATCGGCTCAACAATGATAACACTGATGCAAGATTCACATTCATCAATCTTGCTAGCATTTCAGCACCACAAGGAGGTAAAGCAGGATTACATAAGTTTTCAATTTATAAATATGGTATTTCATCATTCATGTGAATTGCAACTGTCATATAGATATGTACTTCTTTCTGCTTTCAAGTAAAAGGTCTATATTTCAGAAATTTTTGATTTAATAATATGTTTGGATTTTGCAGTTTTATCATTGCCAAACATTCCTTGTTGTCCAGTAAGGGCAGATGGAGGATGCATTCCAAACTCCATCCATTGCCCAGATCGAGATGCATCTGTTCTCTTCGACCGTTTTCATCCTACGGATATTACAAACACAGTCCTTGCAAAAAGAGCATATAATGCACTCTCTCCCATGGATGCATTTCCATATGATATTAGTCATTTGGCTCAGCTTTAATATTGAACAAGATTGCCGGATATAAAATCGTTAAGCAATCCTATGTATGCATGACTAAATAAGCAATAATAATGACATACTATTTATCTTAATTGGTGTTTTTGTTCACATTTATTTTTAACATCCATAAAGAAAATCCTCAAATTAATGCGCTAATTGATTTCCATGATGTAATTTCTTGCAATCCGCCTGAAATGTGAAAATGTTGCGGCGAGAAGGGCCTAATTGGGATGATCATAAATATTATCCACTAGTAGAAAACCAGGTATCACCGACGAACATCAGCGAGGGATCAGCGAGGAAATGAGAATGCCAAAAACTCATTCCCTCGCTGATCCCTCGTAGATCCGTCGCTGAAGGTTCCCTCGCAGATCTCTCGCTGATCCGTCGCTAAATACTTCTCTCCCTGATCCGTCGCTGAAAGTATCCCTTGCAAATCCGTCACTGATATCTGTCGCTGGTAGCATTACCTATGAGCATTTGACCAACGGGGTATCAACGACGGATCAACGACAGATTACCCTTTTAGCGACGAATTTGCAAGAGAATTTTCCCTCGCTGATACTCTGTATTTTTGTAGTGATGGTGTCAAAACAAATAAGTAAGCTTTTTTTGCTCTTATTTTGGGTAGATGCAAAGTCTCTATACAAATCTTTTATAAATCCTACTATGCATGAGATATACTGGGTTTGTTTGATTTGATAGATTACATATATTTTCTCCATTATAATTTGTACCTATTTTCATTGTATTTTTATATGGATCACAAAAGGATCCATTAACATATGATGGTTAGATTCAATTTAGTTTTATTCATGAAAATCTCACATACAATTTCAAACAAATAAATAATTCAAAATCTAATATAAAACAAAGAAAGATCATACTTTATACCTTGAAATAGAACTTTGTTGAATAAAAAAGTTGTACTAAGATTTGAAGTTAATGTTTTACTGACCATTCATTATATCTCTTAGTGTGATGGTATTCGTAAGAGTGTAGATTTGTATCTTAACCATAAACAACAAAAACTACAAACATAAAGACATCACTCAGAACATGTTAAAACACTACTAAAAACCGAGTATCCTCGACCACGATTAGTAACACCCAGAATTCGTCGATGATTTACGATGGGTCACCGATAAAAACCCGACTGCACAAAGTTCCATCGATGACAATCAGAGAATTAAAATATTTCCACGGATCATGATGGATCATAATTTTTTTTATTTTGATTTTCTTTGAATTATTTATCTGTGAGGTTGTCATTGATCTGCATATCATCAAGGTTTTTAATTTTTCATTTCTACAGTTTGTATTTTGAAAATGAAAATGAAGAAAAACCCTCTTTAATGATCTCTTGTTGATTAGTATCGAAAGATCACCGAAGGCCTCAATTTTTAATTTTTGAAATTGAAAAACGTAAAAGCAATAAAGCATATTTAAACTAGTTTAAGAAAATCATTTAAAAATTGAAATACTAACAATTTTCAGGGAATTTATAGTGAACACCGAGGGATCATAAGGTTGAGGAGTTTTGTTGTTCTCATGTTAAAACCATAGAGAGTAACCATTAACATCGTCGAGGCCATAAGGTGACACTCGACTACATTTATATGTGGCTTACTTTGTGATAGGCCATTTTCAACAGAACGAGTCAACGCTTCATTGAAAAATGTTATTTCGTACTTTGAAAATGGCACATTTTGAAAATATGTTGTCTTAAATGGTAAACTTTCTATCAAATGGGAAAATTATCATGTTAGAACATTTGCAGTTCTACCATTTTCTTACCGACGATATAAAATGTTTGAAATCGTTAAGCTTTAAGCCTAACAGTATCAGGTTCTTGTGGGCGATACTAACGACACTTGAGAAGGTTGATTGCTAGTTAGAGGTTCGTGCACGTGAACGATACTTATTTAAGAAAACATGAAAACGGGCAAATCACGTGCAAAATCATATGTGATTTTACATTAATGGTCAAAAAAGTGTTCGGACCACTTGTGGTTACGTCTTTAGGCCGACGGGCAAGGTCGCTGAAATCAGATATAATTTTGTATGTGATGTTCTTGTAAAATCACACGTGATTCGCCCATTTTCGTGTTCTTTTAAATAGGTATCGTTCTCGTTTGATCCTCTCTCTATATATTTATACATACATACATACATACATACATACATACATACATACATACATACATACATACATACATACATACATACATACATACATACATAGAGGAGGCTTACTTTGCAAACCACGTTATTTGTACAAACCGTACAAACCTCATTCAATCAATCATAATTTTTTATTTTGTTCATTTTCTTTTGTAATTATGAGAGGTTGATTAATCATTTTTATTGTGGAAGATGTTAATCATGGATATTATCATCTTCATTATTTTAATTTTAGAGAAATATATAAAACAATTTTATTAAAATTTTATTAAGTATTATATGAAACAATTTCATAACCACATATGAAACAACTTCATTAAAAAAATTATATGAAACAATTTCACAAGATTAAACAATTTCATGAAAAATTTCATAAGATTAAACAATGAAATCGACGGATCAGAGTGGTTTGTACGGTTTGTACAAATTGGATGGTTTGCATTTGATCGCTCCTCTACATACATACACACACACACACACATACACACACATATATATATATATATAGAGAGAGAGAGAGAGAGAGAGAGGAGCGATCAAATGAAAAGCACTCTAATTTGTAAAAACCGTAAAAACTACTCTTATCCATCGTTAATCTTATGAAATTTTTTCATGAAATTGTTAATCTTGTGAA